TGCTGCTGCTGTTGTTGCTGTCGTTGCTGCTGATGTTGCTGTTGTTGTTGCTGTTGCTGCTGTTGTTCTTGATACTGTTATTGTTATTGTTGCTGTGGTCGTCGTCGTCGTCGTCGACTCTTTGTCTTGGCGTTGATGTTGTTGTTGTTGTTGCAGTTGCTGCTGCTGCTGCTACTGTTGCTGTTGTTGTTGTTGTTGGTGGTGGTGGTGGTGGTGGTGGTGGTGTTGTTGTTTGTTGTTGTCTGTTGTGATTTTTGTTGGTCTTCTGGGTTATCGCCCGATAATTTTCGCAATGACGCTGGGGGCAGGGGTGGGAGCATCTTCGCCATTAGCTTCAAGCGCGAAGCCGATGCCGCGACTTTGCGACAGGAGCCCACCCCAGGAAGCTACGAAGCAGCAAGGCACCAGGGAGCAATAAATTGAACATGTGTGTTTGTGTATGTATGTATGTATGCATGTATGCATGTGTACATGTGTATATATATATATATACAATATGTAGAGAACCAAGGCTGTGTGTGTATATATATATGTATATGTATATGTGTGCATATATATATATACATGGCAGCTTACATACACGTACATATGGATTCTATATTATATATATACGGTATATACCTATATATATATATGTATATATATATATGTATATATGTGTATATATATAGTATTTTCATTATATACATATATACTTATGAGAGAGAGACAGAGAGAGAGAGAGAGAGAGAGAGAGACGGAGAGAGAGATGGAGAGAACAACAAAATCATCAAAGCTTGTCCTCGCGATGTGGGAAAAGTCTGAGGCTATGCCTTTCAGCTCTTTCGCTGCCGCTGGCACGCCACCGCCCCAATAGCGAAGCAGCAACACCTAGGCTCCCAAGTAGAATTCCCAAACCCTAAACTCTGAAGCAATAAAACCCTAGCCCTAAACCCCAAAAGCTGTACCTGGCAAAGAAAAGCAAGCCCCGGATTTCCAACTGTAGGGCTTCTGCTTCGCCATGCTGGGATTTAGGGACTTAGGTTTGAAGATATCGAGTTTGGGGGGGTTTTCCGTCTTCCCATTCTTGCCACTTGGCTGAAGAGCCCCCAAACAACTCTTTAGGGTTGAGGATTAGCACTAGGGTATAAGTCTTGTTCCACGCTGGATGGGAATCCCAAAGCGCAACGGTACACTAAACAACCACCCGGAACAAGCTACGTCTAAAACCCTTTAACAATCATCATCAATACCAGTAGTGCCAAAGAACCCAAAAAAATACGAAGAAGAACACAGTACTACTGTGAAGCCAGGGCACTACAAGAACCGAGACCAGCCGACGGGCGAGGACTTCGTAGGCCCAGGAAGTGTAATGGACCAAATCGAAGACAGCGGAGACAAACACCTCCAAACCGTAAACTCTAAACCCTACCCTAACCTCCCAGGCACCTACTATATAGGGCCCTAGGGGCTCTAGTACCCTGTATAGTAGGTACCTGGGGGGGGTTAGGGCTAATTGTTTTGGGGTTTAGGCTACCGAGTAGCTACTAGTACAACCCCCTTGGAGCTCATATAATTTTGTACTTAGACACAACTTAGAGTCATGGGGCTCTGGGCGGTTGTCGGGTAGCGTTTACATTCCTGACCCTCTGGGGTTTAGGCCGATTTGAGAGTTAGAATGTTCTGGGAAAGCAGCCCAGCTGCCAGCAGTCGCACGTAGAGAAGCACCCGCACGCTGCCGGCCAGCATCTGAGAGCCTCGCCCTTTCATGTCGTTGGAGACCGAGGACATGGCACAAGGAGCTCCAGAACCGACCTCCGAACTCTCAACCAAAATGCCTTAATGACCTGAACCAAGGACCCTAAGGCCCTTTCAATTCTAAATGGTGGTTGACAGAACATCGATTCGCAATGTCTCAGGCGCTAGCGAACCTTTCAATGAGCAGTGCGGCGGGGGACTACGTGGATTTTTGCATAAGGGTGTTAGGGTTTGTAGGGTTTCGGGGTTCGAGCTGGGTATCAGGGTTTAGCGGCTGTTACGGTCTTTCAAGGATCAAGAGACTCAGAAGGCTGCAACAGCGAGCCGAACGAGTGGGTGTTCATGACACTAGCTAATTACCGAAAACAGGATTCGAACGAACCACAAGCGAAACTAAACTGGAGGGTAGAGGGTACATACATGATTGTGAGGGGATTTAGGTTAGCTGAGGTTTCAGGAAAGTACGGGTCACCTGGTTAGGGGCCTTCATATCGGTGGGAAGATATTAGGTTCATATTCCAGCATACCTTTATGTCTTACCTATAAATTCCGGATCATATAAGGTAACCCAAAAAGGAACTACAATGGTGGAGACTGTAGGTATAGTAGATGTGAGTCTACAAACTCACGGACAGGGTGGAGGGTCTGGCAGGTTGCTTCTTCAAGCCCCACAACCCAAACGATAGACCTTGCTCATCGGCTTATGCATACTATCATACTTCCCGTACCTGAGGTGGCAGCGTGGCCCACCTGTCAAGAAACCCCCTGTACAGAAACTATAGTTGCAACATTCTAAATAGGCTTCGGGGGTATGGAACCCTATAGTCAATACTATTACGAAGAGTTCAGGCTCCCATATTGCTTGCACTGCCTCAACCCTAAACCCTCAACCCTAAACCCTTGACCCTAAA